TGTAGCCCATCCGCCTCAAGGTTGCACGTGTTGTGGCTTCACAAATGCTTTGCTGCATACCTCGGTTGTAACGAGTGGTTATTTCAGTCAAAGTTGCTCTTCTATCAGCTTGAATCAGTCGGCCCATTCACCTCTGACCTCTTGCATCAACAAGGCATGTTCACCCACAGGACTGCCGCATACTGGATGTTTTTCCCTTTTCACACCATTCTTTGTAACCCTAGAAATGGTTCTGCGTGAAAATCCCAGTAACTGAGCAGATTGTGAAATACTCAGACCGGCCCGTCTGGCACCAACAACCATACCACGCTCCAAATTGCTTAAATCGCCTTTCTTTCCCATTCTGACATTCAGTTTGGAGTTCAGGAGATTGTCTTGACCAGGACCACACCCCTAAATGCATTGAAGCAATTGCCATCTGATTGGCTGATTAGATAATTCTACCCTATCTCATGACCAATTCATACGAATTCGTACGAGTGATTCAAAAGTGGCTAATTTGTATTAATTCATACGACCTCACTCGTACGATTTTGTACGATTTGTCTAAACCCACGTGACTTATGTTTAGGGGCGGGGTCAGGGGTAGGTCATTCGTACGAACTCATACGAATTGGCTAATTCGTAAAATATGTACGATTTAGCAAAATCGTACTAATTCGTACGAGTGAGGTCGTACGAATTGTTATGAATTAGCCACCTCGTAAAATTCGTACGAATTCCCGTGAGATCAGGTTGGATAATTGCATTAATGAGAAATTGAACAGGTGTTCCTAATAATCCTTTAGGTGTATACAAACAGCCCATGTAAAACATCCCATTTAAATCCAATGAATTTCCATTGAAAATAAAGTAGAACTTCTTTCTAATTTCATTTTCATTCAGGATAAACAAGTTAGTAAAGAATATTCCTTATTTAAAAATGGTTATTACAGGAAATAAAGACACTGCGGGGCAAGAAACCAGATTTGAGTGAGCTGGAGAAAGAAAAGGAAGAGGCCAGTCAAAGGATGCAGGTACATTTTCTTTATTAATTTTAGTACTATGTGGGTACATACAGAAGTATTTTCACCAGCTTTGGACTTCACTGTATAAATATGATTATGTTTTAGTGAACTGAGGATGAATGTTTATTTGTCTTGGCATTAAGGACCTGGAAATGAAGAACTCAGAGTTGGAGAAACAAGTGCAAACAGCAGAAAGGGCTTTAGCGTCGTCCCAGGATTCCCGCAACAGGGCAGAGAGTGCTGTGCAGAAGGTCATTGAAACTTTGGACGTCAAGATCTACGATTTGAGCGACCTGCGACAGAACCTAGCCAAGCTCCTGGAGGATTGACCACTGCAGTTGAACAAACATTGCATGGCAAAACCACCAAAATGAGGTCAAAGAGAACTTGTTCTCTACTGGAATGTTCCCAAGCTGCACAACTCGACGGTTCGTCATGGTACTAGGCTGGTAATAAAACCTTGAGGTGATAGCATGACAATAATATATTTGCATTCACATTCCACATTTGCTCACTCATAGAACGGAGAATGTTTGATTAAATTAGTCACAAGGAAAACCATAAAGAACCGTCCAAAAGACTAGCTTCTTTTAGACCTGTTTTTTGGTACTAGATATCAATATAGTTGAAATTGTTGTTGAGATCTGTGATTTGGTTGTGACTAGGTTTCTAAATGAGTAATTAGAGTAAAAATTAGAACAGAACGTTCTGTAGATATAAGCTACTGTTCATGTATTTACCAATGTTATTGTTAGATACATAACTAGAACTGAAGAATGAAAATATCTCAATATTTACGGACACCAGCATGTCTCTGTTAGGACATTTAAGTGATTTAATGGCTCGTTGAACATGCAGTTTCTCGTACATGCCTCATAGAGTTTGCTTAATGCAACTGACAACATGAGGAGCAGGGAAATCAAAGCACATAGCACTAACAAAACATGATATTTCTCTTAGTAACAAATGATAACGAGCGAATGATTAACCTTGACTTCCCGATTTCTTAACTAGTTTATTCAGCATTTTAACTAGTCTGCTGCAGTCTGTTTAAATATGTAGTTGGTTCTCAATCTAATGCATTTCTGCAAGGATAAACTGGTTGGCAGAGTACTCCGATTCAATTTTCACTGTCTGATTCCATTAGTTCAGAATGACACTTCTAACAGCTACAACCCTTAAAGGGATAGTTCACCCAAAAATGGAAATTCTATCATCGTTTACTCACCCTCAAGTTGTTCCAAACCTTTATGTGTTTATTTGTTCTGCTGAACACAAAGAAAGATATTTGGAAGAATGTTTTAATCAAACAGATCTCAATCCCCATTGACTACCAGTATGTATTTTTTCCACTATGGTAGTCAATGGGGAATGAGATCTGTTATATTAAAACATTCTTCCAAAATATCTTCCTTTGTGTTCAGCAGAACAAATAAACACACAGAGGTTTGGAACAACTTGAGGATGAGTAAATACTGACAGAATTTTCATTTTTGGGTGATCTATCCCTTTAAGAGTTTTTATAGAATACTAGTTTTCAATACGTCAGCATGCATCTTTATACATACCTTTATATATTTAGTTTTACCTCTTTATAAAAACATGTCTTTAGCCTAAACATTCACTTTAACTGTTGATGTTTCATCGCTTGGACAGCTGCCCTGTAACCTCAAAGACATTTGCACATATACTATTTTTCTATTGTGTGCCTGTTATTGTTGGTTTTATATGAGTTCCCAATAAAAGTATTTGCTTCATGTGTACACGTCCTTTCATTTTACGTTTGTTTTCCAACCCCAAACCCTCCCAAGATAGCCTTTATGATAGTTTATGGAGATAATTAATGTGCTGCACTGATTGCTTCACCATTAGTTTTGGGATAAAATTGAATTTTGATAGTTATGGTGCATTTTGAAGCAGTGTTGCCTGCTATGTTTTTTAGAACCTTTTTTTTTTTTTTGAAATGTGCTTCGTTGTAGAATGATGCATGATACTCGGCTAAATATGATTACCTGCATCGATGAAGCAAGGTCTTATTACCTTAATCCCTAAACCAAATAAAGATAAACATTTTTTAGATAATTGCCGCCCTATAACGTTCCGATTACAAAATATTAGCTGCAGTAAATGCTCGATGTATATTAGTATATTAGCTGCAGCTATGCTATGCTAAAACCCTGCTTAGAAGAAGTTATCTCATTCACACAATCTGACTTCATGAAAGGTCGACACATTTCAAATAATATTGGTCTTGTTTTAGATCTTTTAGATTACTCTGAGATAGTTAATGATGATCCACTGATCTTGTTCTTAGATTTCTACAGATCTCATTCCCCATTGACAACCATAGTATGTATTTTGTCTATGGTAGTCAATGGGGATTGAGATCTGTTTGATTAAAACATTCTTCCAAATATCTTCCTTTGTGTTCAGCAGAACAAATAAACACATAGAGGTTTGGAACAACATGAGGGTGAGTAAATACTGACAGAATTTTCATTTTTGGGTTAACTAACCCTTTAACCTTTATTGTGAATTGTTTGAATATCAAAGGCATCCAAATAGCAGGCCGCGCTATTTTAACCAGTCAACTGGCCGATGATACATGTATTTTCCTGAAGGATAAAAGACAAGTCCCCATTATATTAGAAGCATTAAAACATTTTTCAAATGGCTCTGGCCTTTTTATTAATCAGAGTAAATCAGAGAAAAGGTTAGGTATTTTGGCATATAATCAATAAATCTCCACATGAAAGAGTTTTACTATGTGTTTCAATAAAGCAAAAATGACAAATTTGTTTTTTGAAAAGTGTGGTGGGTTAAACTTTTTATTCTCATGTGACTTTAAATGTAGTAAATTTCCCATAAAAGTGTCTATTTTTTACATGCAATCAGTAGATGCATTTAAATAGCCTTTAAACATAATTTCTCCCTTCACACATGTATAATATGGAATAAATAACCAGTATGTATTACCTAAAAGAAAAAGTATATATAAAAAAAGAATGGTTGATGAGGGAATTATTTTTTTTACGATTTATTAAATTGTAATGGTGAGATTTACAACAATTTCTTGCTCTCTCAGGGATTGAATCTACATGTAGAGATTACCATATGATTGTTAAAAACATTTCCATTAAATTTCAGCTTGTGAAAGCGCATCTTATTTTTGCAGCAGATTCTGGATGTGTTAATATTTTGGATATGAAGTGTAACAATTCTTACATCAGAAAGTGTCTTAATCAATATATCAGTTGCTACCCTAAAGCAATTCTGAAATGGAAACCATTCTTTTCTTTTTCTATGCCCTCTTCTGAGACAATCTGGTCTGCAAGTAATACATTTTTACAGCCAAATAAGATCAAGGAAACTCATTTCAAAATACAGGTGTTATCCCTGTAATGCATTTCTTAATAAGTGTAAAAAAAAGACTTCTCACCACATGTTTTTGTAATCTTGAATCTGAAACTCTCATACATTTATTTTGTAATTGTAAATATTCTGAAGATTTTTGGAAGCAAGTATCTATGATGGTTTTTGATACATTCTACAAAATAATCAGAGCAGATGAGGCTATATCTTCTCGGATTGTCATACTGGCTCAGATATAATTGATAACACATTAAAGTGAATAATTCTTCTTAGGAAGTTTCATATACATAAAGCTAATGTCTATTAAACCCTCCTAATTTATTTTGTAAAGATCTTAAAATATTCAATGACTCGTTGAATTCAATCAGAAATAGGTGCATAAAAACATCTAAAATAAAAATAAATAGTTTGTAAAATGTTTATGTTTTACACTGTACAATGTAAGATATGTTATATGTTTCCCCCAATATCTGTTTGTGTTATGTTTGATGTTAAATGTAAGCTTTGTAAGCTTTTATGAAAGTTTTAAAAAAAACTATAAATGTGCCTGATTGCAGTTGACCCAATACTGCCATCTAACTTACTGGAGACTAAAAGCTCTCCTCAACCTAAAAGAGTGATTGCTCTAGATATCATATATTTTACATCAAAAAATTGTGGAGGGTTCGGGCGTCCTAAAATGTGTTAAACCTCTTCGACAACTTCAAATAACTTGAGTGAGCTACAAGAGACCCGCTATAGTTGTCTTGGAAAACATTTAATAATTAATGTCTCCACAACAAATTGAAGTCTTTGGGGCCCCCCTTTGCGTTTCTGTTTGGACAAGAATAGCCAGAATGAAACGAGGTAAAATAATGTTATGATTTTATGTATTAAATACTTATGTATATTACACAACCCAATGTAAATATCAAACATTTCTACTTGTTTTCATTCGAACGATATCGGCTGGAATTGTGGAGCGACGAAGTGTGACTGTGACATCATAGATGCTTCCATGCAAGCGTGAAGAGAGATTTGTTTGAGCTGCTTTTAGAGTTTTCAATAGATTTCAATCGCACATTTTTGCTTTCTATCAAAATCTCCGTTTACTTTTTGCGACGCAATGATGATTCAGTCAAGGATTTCAAATATACCCTTTTTGGATAGAGCAAACGACATGTTCACAACAACGAACAAGAGCCACTTTAAACCATTTGACAACACCGCCATTCAGAAAAGAAATGTTATACTTCGGCCTGTCTCAACACTTTTACAACGAGGAGACAACAATTGCCAGAGAAAGCACCAGACAGAGACAGCGTCGTCCTTCACATCCCATCCACGAACCCCTGTCACCCTACCAACGATGACCCACCGCACGATGCAGAGAACCAACTTTAAAATGCATTCTGAGAAAAGGTGTGGAGACTTTGAGACCAACGTTACCCATGCAGACTTCAAGCCCTTACCGATGTCTGCAGCCAAAATAATTCGTCCCACCACCTCAGTCAGGATAAGTCTCCCGGGGAGCAAATTTCCTGAAACTACTCACAGATCCAGTTACACCAAACATGAGGTGTCATCAGACCGCAGGGCAAAGGAAACAGTGAACACAGGTACCCACTGCACACCAAAGTGTGATTGTGCATTAATACTCTCACAGTCCATTGACTTTTGTATTTTATGAGTGGATATAAGATGCTTTCTTTTTATCAACAAGGTGTCGGGTCAACTCTGAAAGAGAACAAAAAGGATGAATTCAGTTCCAGTTATCATGAGCAGTTCCAGTACAGATGGTGTCCTCCTCCACTTCTGTCTGCAGAAAAGGTCATTCTTCTTTCTCATTTGCAGTGGTTTCAAAGACAACCAATAATGTTGCAGTTCAATAACATCTTTCTTACTCTTTTTCGTTCAGCAAAGGATTCAGATTTCATCTGTAGCGATGGGAGACCGAGAAAAGAAGCTGGGCAAACAAACAACATATTCCAGCTCTTTCAGTCAATCAGGTGCCCACAGGTACTGTTAACCATCCTGCTTAAACACAAAACATGTATACAACCTAACAGGAAAGCTTTGAATAACGTTTGATAAGACATGGTTGAGAGCAGTGTACATGAGATAGGAAATCTAAAACTTTTTTTTTTTTTAACAGCTATGCTAGGGAATGTCTGCTTCCCAAGATAAATAAATCCCGGCCCATCAACCTCCGAGAACATGCTGATGAAAAATGGATAACAACATCATCTGAGGAATTTCCTGCACACAAATATGGTATGTACAATAATTGTATACCATGTTTTTTTTATGCCATATAATCAGTGTTGGGTGTAACTAATTACTAAGTAATTAGTTACTATAATTTAACTACTTTTCCCTTGAAAATGTAAAGTAAGGGATTACTCTTCATTTATCTGTAATTTAATTACAGTTACTTCTGATGTAATTGAGGTAAATACTGTGTATGGATCAATCCGATCTCAAAGCGATTCGTATGCTTTGAGATCGGAATATGTATGAAAAAAGTGTGAAATGTCATGAGATCAGACATTAAACAATAGTGGGTTTAACATCAAAATGTATTGTCTGATGTTAAAAAGTATGTTTTTATAATGTAACCTTCTCCACCTCTGTTTACTGTAAGGATAATTCATGCAATTGTATAGTATTTATTTGAAAGAATTAAAACAGATTCATGTCTATCCTTGTATTATTCAGCTGGTTGAGATTGATATGGGATTTTGAAAGTAATTAAATACTTTTTAGAGAGAGTAATCTAATTACACGGTTGAAGAGGTAATTAGTAACTAGTAATGAATTACTTTTTTAGAGTAACTTACCCAACACTGCATATAATGTTCTTCAACTATTTAAACTATAAACAATCTAAAGTATCCCAGGTGAAAAGGAAATATATTTAAATTGTACTTATTTAGATATACTTAATGTATTTTAAGTGTACCGTATTAAATATGTATTAAATGTGCTAAATTGAAACAACTTCAAGTATATTAAGTGTACTTTAATATGTATTTAAGTTCAATTTTAAGGTAATAGTAATATATTTTATTATACTAAATTGTGCTAAAATGGAACCATTTTAAGTACATTTAATGTAATATAATAGCACTTATTTAAAGTGTATTTTAATACACTTTAAATAGACTTTAGAAATACAGCATTAGTATATTTTTAGCTTCACATTAATGCGTTCTGAGTATATTTTAAATATAATTTCAGCTTATTAATAATGTATTAGTAGAACACTATTGGACCCACTATTAACATATTAAAAATATATTTTTCCAAAAACCATTTAATATAAAAATAATATATTTTAATGTATTAAAAATACATTTAAACATTTGAATTCAACAAAACCCAATAAAAAAATATTTCTACAAAACACACAAACACTCTTTGAAAGATAAACTTTAATGCACTACATCAGTAAAGCATTATGAAAACTAAACAAAATACATTAACATAAAATGCATTGATTTGCAGAGGTATTAAACAGAACAAAAATAAATAAATAAATAAACTAACTGAAAGGAGTAGTTCACTTTTGAAAAAACTCTTGCTGATAATTTACTCACCCCCATGTCTTCCAAGATGTCCATGTCTTTCTTTCTTCAGTCGAAAAGAAATTAAGGTTTTTGATGAAAACATTCCAGGATTTTCTCCATATAATCACTGGGAACCAAACGGTTCAGGGTCCAATGGCTAACAGTCAATTTGTCGTGAAAGCATGAGAATTGGCTCAATTGCGAGAGTCTCGTGCTGAATGCTTGAGAGTTGGCAGCCCTGACAAATCTTTTTTCAATTCATTCATTTCGTTCATTGAATGAACCTAATGACTCGGAAAAAGATTTGTTAATTTTGATGAACGAGTTCAAATAGGAAAATCATGAACATGCATAACAGAACAGAGCAAGGCGACCATTTGAGCTTATAAAACTTAAACTTGTGGGGTTTTTTTTTTTTAAATGACCGATCGTTTCGCTTGATAAGACCCTTATTCATCGTCTGGAATCGTTTAAAGCCCTTTGAACAGTTTGCACAGAAACTGTCTTTTGGACCTTGAACCGATTGGTCCCCAATGAAGTCCATTATATGGAGAAAATCCTGAAATGTTTTCATCAAAAACCTTAATTTCTTTTCAACTGAAGAAAGAATGACATGGACATCTTGGCATGGGGGTGAGTAAGCTATCAGCTAAAGGTTTTTTTTTTTTTTTTTAAAGTGAACTAATCCTTTAAGTCAAACAAAGTGAAATACAATAGCAAAAAGTAAAGTGGCCAAATCTTGAGTAAAAAGAGAAGTTCGTGACTTGTTCAGTCTGCCATAGACTCTTTTGGGGACATCAGAAACACAGAGGGAAATCTGGCAAGAATAAAAAAAAACAAGCATTAGTATAAACTTGTTCATTTATAATTCTAATAAAAAGCTGTCACTTTGTTACTTAATTCAGAACACTTAATGCACAAAAAGTCAGATATAATTATTATAACAAATAGGATTTTTCTTTATCATAAAGAATTTTCTAACCATTTCTGAGGTTTCAGGAAGACACAGCTCAGATGATCTTGGGCTTGAGCTGAATGAACCTCGTTTCATGGACTCCAGGGCCTCTTTGAGAGATGCTAATATCCCTGGAAGCTCTATAAGAAAAAATAAAGTCGCATGTTATACAAAGTTAGGGCAGAAAAAACACTAGTTTGTGTTCTTCATATATAATTTGTATTTTGTTTAAATGGTGAAACATATTTAATGAACCATTACTGTAACTTCCACGCTATTATTAAAGTAATTATTCATTATTAATAAAGACAGAACTTTCTATTGAAAGTTACAAGTTGGTGACAGCTGATAACGCCTTGATTAAATGTAAAAAAGCTGAATACCACTCATAAAATCATATAAATCAGTCCCTCGAGAAAAACACGATTATGTGATTGCATAATTCAATGCATAATCAGGCAAAATACATATTCATTTTTCAAATACGTGTTAATATATAATAGGTCACTTAGTTACTTAGCTGCTACATGACACACTATTCTATTGCCTTTTTTTGTTTGTTTTTCACCAACAAAAAGTTACAAATCAAGAGGATCAACTACTACTTACTCGACTTGACCTCATCTACTCACGGTTAGGTTTAATAAAAAAAAATGTCTTTGCAATGTGCAAATTCCTTGGCTAGGCTAAATATTAAATATAAAATCTCTCATTTCATTATTTAACATCATTTTAATTTCTCAGTGCAAGATATTTAATAATTGGTTTTGTGAAAGCTTATAGTTGGTGATTACAACTTAATTTATTTATCGAATTGACATGAAAACTGACAGCCTACTAATAATTAATTAGATTTTACTATGAATTAAATATCACAGATGTGAAAGTTTTATTAGAGCTTAAAATATATTATAATATTTAAAACACAAGAAGTTACTTAGGGACAATCAAGCCTGTCGTGTAATCACCATTAATAACCTTTTTTCTGCAAACACAGTGTGCAATGTTTTTATAGTTGTCACTGTCTGGATCTATAACAATAAGTTGATAGACGTTAACTCGCTTTAGTGTCAAATCAACAGAAACGCCAGTAATCCACAGAACATCGACATCAACTTCTGAAAATATTTTCTAAACCCAAAGTGAGAATAAAGCCAATTATACTAATCACTTAAACTAATAAACTTACCACCAAGAAGTAAGATCTTTTCTGGCAGTATCTTGCTCTGTCCATGTCGTGGCGGCGCAGCTCTGCGTTGTCCTCTTCACTGCTAAATTGTTCGCGGGAGCTGACGACCTGGTAATCTGCTCGTGTGTTCTCTCAATATTAGATCGGTGCTATCCACATTCACTAGGTCCGAGTCAGTGAAATAACAAAGCATAATTTGGAAAATACATGATTTTCTGTTGAAATATCCGAAGTAGGAAATCTAGGAATACCACAGACAGTCAGTATCCGCTGTCCGCGCCCCGCCCAACATGTAAGTTCAAATGGCAGTGTGTGATTGGACAATTGCCGGCAAGCTTGTTTTGAAAAGATTGGCTCTGATTGGTCCAAATGAATGCAACTGGAAATATTAACTAACATCCACAAAAAAGAAACAACTCTGTTAATATAAACCTAACATGCTTTATAACAAGTTTTTTTAAATTAATTTTGGCTAAACAAATGTAAGAGTCAAGCTTTAAGAAATTTATTTTGTTTTTCTAGTATGTACACCTGATCTTTTATGTTGATGTGTGCAAGTACTGGTATTCACTTGTTTTGTGGAAAAGACTATTTGATTAATTAATGCAGAAGTATAGAAGTGCATTACTTGTTAGTCAAATTTGAGTGCTTTTCATAATTATAACAAATTAATTTTAAAAAGTTAAACCTAAAACACATAATATAAAGTGTGAAATACATATGCATTGAGTTAAGTGTTGGTAGTATTACAAAAAGTGTGGTAGTTTTTGGTATATTTCTTAAAAGCTTAACTGAGCACATATTTATAATTAAAGTGCTACTTCTAGTCTTTGTAGAAATATACAATTAATTTCGATACATGTTTAATTGCCTTCATGTTAGGAAGGGAATTAAAGGGACTTGAATTTTTAAACTTGAAGTGAACACAAAAAATACTTTAATTTAGCAACAAGTATGCTTTCTGTAAATACACTAAAACTTCACTAAAACTATGTTTGTTTTTAGCATATTTCTAAAAGTGTAATTAAGTGTATATTTATTATCATTGCGTTTCTAGTAAAACATTTTTAAATATAATTAAAATATGTTTGTATTTAGCATATTTCTTAAAAATGTAATTAAATACCAATGTACTTCTAGTACACTTTTTAGAAACATATTTAAAGCATGATTGTCATTAGCATATTTATTAAAAATATAATTAAGCACACATTTATTACCAATGTACTAATAATATACTTTTTTAGAAATACATTAAAAGTATGCTTTTCTATAGTGTATTTCTTAAAAGTGTATTTAAACATATATTTATTACCAATGTACTTCTAATATACTTTTTAGAAATACATTTAAAGTATAATTATCATTAGCATATTTATTAAAAATATAATAAAGCATACATTTATTACCAATATATTACTAATATACTTTTTATAAATACATTAAAAGTATGCTTTTCTATAGTATATTTCTTAAAAGTGTAATTAAATATATATTTATTACCAATGTACTTCTAGTATACTTTTTAGAAATATACTAAAATGCAATAAAATACATTTTTAGTACACTTTAAATAAGCATGTTGTAAATACAAATGTATTATAAACACACTATTTGTATTTCAAATATATTTTTAATACATTTAATACAACGTCTTTTTCACCTGGGTAAAGCTTACAAATTTACCCAAATTATTACATGCATGTTTAACCGAAGCTATTTTGGGTGTGTTTGTCCTATCCCAATGTCACTTCTCTTTCTTTTACGGCCCTGAGAACATCGATCTCCTCGGCTGTGGACCGATTGAAGCGCGCGCCGGTAAACGCGCCGTTATAATAGAGCCTCGTTCATCACGCTCTTAAAGGGAATGAGATATGACGCTCTGATTGGTTTATTTCAGTTATGCCCAAACCACACCCTTTGAATAACTAAGCTA